AATGGAAGACGTCATCGTACCTGGAATGGCTTTCTCTGTCTTTTCGTATTCAAATTCTGGCCTCTGAAAACGTCACCGAGTTGGGAATCGTGTAACGGTGTCGACGTGAAATTTATGCGTTAATTTATTAACGCGTCACGTATGATAAATTAACCCAACTTACGGCTATCGGAAACTTTTGAGAAACTGTAGGGAACATGGAAATGTTATAAAATTGCAGAACTAGTAATTCAACGAATTTTAAATATTCGATATCTCAAATTGCGATCGATGATCAGATTAATGATCAAAGGCGATTGAATTGTATTAAAAAAAAAATTGCGCCGAACTAAGAGGAATTGTTACATTAATTTGGCGAGGCAAAATTTGATGGGTTTATATGTATCGTATATCGTCGACAATAATAACGAGGTAATTCGATTTGATGTTGAAAACGACCGTCACTTTCGTGTCGTGTAAAAATGATAATTTCCCTGGGAAAAAGTGGAAGGCCTCGGTTCGATTTTCCAATAAAGCATGAAAATGCTCGTTCCGCTCGTCGCGTTCGTGCATTGTTTAAAATTGTAACGCCATCGATATAACGTTTTAATAAAGCTTCGTTTTAATGGTGGCGCGCATGGGGAAAATGAGATTTCCGATACACGTGCCAGGGGCTTATTGCACATCAAATTCATAAACTGTTCACGTTGTTTCCAAGTAATTCGCGTCGAAAATCATCCGTCAATTTTCCCTTTATGTCACAGCAAGTTTGCCAAATTATTTTGCTCTTTATAACAACATCCCCTTTATCCACCTACAAATTGCACCAAATTTCTCTTCATCTTTTATTGACGGAGACAAATTGTGTAACCTTCTAGACAGTTGCAAAATTAAATAATTATCTTGTAATCATCATCTTGTACAATTTCAACGAAACAAGTAAAACGACGACTTGTGAAACTCTTCGATGTTCGCTCGGAAAGACACGGACACCGTAACGAGTCAGATGGAGATTTCGCGTAACTCGATCCGGACCCAACAATTATTCGCAATATTTCGGCGTTGCGAGCCGTGCAACTCCGTAATTGGTGACGGAGGAGTTCGCGGCGTCTTCCGAGAACTTTTATTACCGTACCGGCTATTTCTGATGCAAGCGGCGCGTGCATCGACGTCGGGACGCGATCACACGCCGATGCATTCGCTCTTTTTTCATCTACCCTCGTCGGCGGACCAGCCGGTTAAAAATTGAACCAGGTCGACCGGGGTTGCTTGACTCGCGATCGAGGAAACGCGACGCGATTAAACGCCATTAAATTCACGGCAATTATCCTGCTCGATTACCTCACTTTTTCGCAATTTGCATATTTATTTCTGAAGCTGTAACGCATGTTCGTTTCGTACTTTTTGTGAAATATTGAACTTCAGTTAAAAGCAAATCAAATAAACTTTAAATGTAAAAAATCATTTATTGATTGTACATTATTTATACAGCAAAAGTAAGTCTTGAATTATAACCTGAGAAGATGCAAACTTTTATTAAATATTTAATAAAATAATATTTAATAAAATAATTATAAATATTTAATAAAATAATTTAATATTGAAGAAGGGAAGGGTTGAAAAGGATAGACAAACATAAACAATGCCACAAAAATTCTTAAATTATAATTTAACGTAAATTAATATTAAACTTGTATTCAATTATAAATTAATATTAAACTTGTATTAAATTATAAATTAATATTAAATTTGTATTAAACAAGAATTGTACTAAAAAAGAAAATGTAGAAAATTTTAACCGTAACGAATCATAAAACTATTTCTCAATAAAATCGATTTATATCGAACAATTGACGTTTCGAGAAGTCTTACAATACGCATTTAGCGAACGCGCTAATCGATAGTATCGATCGTGCTTGCAGAGCGAAATCAAACAGAATTCCGTTTTATTCTGCGACAACCGATAAGAAATGTAAAATAGGTTGCGGATTGCGTAGCGAGCGTGCAACTGTAAAATAAATTGCGAGCGTTTTGTTTGCGAGCGAACGAGGAAAAGCCCGGGAAAATGCAGGGTTACGGTGGGAAGAACATTGTTGAAAAGCCGGATTTCCAACGGGGTCAGTTGTTCCGTGGTCACACGATATAAACATTCATGACCGACATATACGAAGCTCGCGTTCGAACTTTGACCCATGAACTTCAGTAATAACGCATAGCGGCCGAGTCCGTTAGTTCACGGCCATCGTAATTCTACGCTTCCGTTGTTTTTCCTTCGATTAACTCGATTCGATGTTAAACAACACGCGATTGTTTATCGCGCGATTAATCGCACTGATTTACATCGACCGCGATTCTTCCGTGTAACGTAAAAATTTCGAAATCGGTAAAAAAGAAACTACCAGAAATATTTATTAAAAATGTGTAACACTTGACTTTCGTGGAATATTACAATTTGTTCGGTAGAAAGTGTGAACGATAATAATTTCACAGTATCGTACAAAAGTTGATCGGTGGTTTTGTTCGTACAAGAAAGATTCATGCTTCTGCGATTGCTATTAACATCTCGGGCACCGCAGCGTGCAGTGAAAGCGTTTCCTCGGATGCAGCGATTGCAGGTCGACAAGAAACGCTTTTGCAACAAAGTGCTCGAAATCGAAGTATGAATCTGAGAGAAACGGATTATAACAGTCCTTCTAACAAAGAACCTATTTCTGTTTTTTGCTTGCAGATCGAGCAACGTGTGTGACTCGAAACGGTGACCAACCACGGCAAAAGCGCGCAAGGTAACGTTGCTTTCACTTTTATTTACGACACTGTTTCTATAATCGTGTTTTTGTTCACCATAGAATATCAAGAGGCGCAGTTCAATCAGGGGGGTCGTTTCCAAAGTTGAAATTAGCGTTCATACTCTTCATGAGAATCTTAGTGGACTTTACGAGGATTTTGATCCATCAAGGTTAATAGCAGCGTTACCTCCGATCTACCCTGTTCCGTTACGTCACGATCGGCCGGCGTAATATACGACGCAATGCTGACTCACTTCCGGTCACCTTAGTTTGATATTCCGTTTCTGATACTCGCCGTCTTTCGTCCATTCAACCGCACCGTATCGATTGTGAACGTTCGTTTACCGCGTTAGGCACTAAAGTAAATTGTCGACTTAATAATCACGTGGAACGTTGGACGTGTTAATGACAGTGATATCATTATTCGGATTAGGGACACGGAAATTTGACAATGTACGGATTCGGCAATATAGAAAGATAGTAATAGAGATATTCGGCGATATGAGAATTCGGCGATATAGGAAATTCGGTGCTATAGGAATTCGGTGATATAAGAATTCGGCAATATAGGAAATCGGCGATATAGGAATTCGGTCATATAGGGATTCGGCGATATAGGAAATTCAGCGATATGAGAATTCGGCGATATGAGAATTCGGCGATATAGGAAATTCGGTGCTATAGGAATTCGGTGATATAAGAATTCGGCGATATAAGAATTCGGCGATATAGGAATTCGGTCACATAGGGATTCGGCGATATAGGATATCGGCAATATGAGAATTCGGCGATATAGGAAATTCGGTGCTATAGGAATTCGGTCACATAGAGATTCGGCGATATGAGAATTCGGTGCTTGTAGGAATCGGCGATATAGGAAATCGGTGATATAGGAATTCGGCGATATAGGAATTCGGTCACATAGGGATTCGGCGATATAGGATATCGGCAATATGAGAATTCGGCGATATAGGAAATTCGGTGCTATAGGAATTCGGTGATATAAGAATTCGGCGATATAGGAAATCGGCGATATAGGAATTCGGTCATATAGGGATTCGGCGATATAGGAAATTCAGCGATATGAGAATTCGGCGATATGAGAATTCGGCGATATAGGAAATTCGGTGCTATAGGAATTCGGTGATATAAGAATTCGGCGATATAAGAATTCGGCGATATAAGAAATCGGCGATATAGGGATTCGGTCACATAGGGATTCGGTGATATAGGAAATCGGCGATATGAGAATTCGGCGATATGAGAATTCGGCGATATAGGAAATTCGGTGCTATAGGAATTCGGTGATATAAGAATTCGGCGATATAAGAAATCGGCGATATAGGGATTCGGTCACATAGGGATTCGGTGATATAGGGATTCGGTGATATAGGAAATCGGCGATATGAGAATTCGGCGATATAGGAATTCGGTCACATAAGGATTCGGCGAAATAGAAATCCTGCGATATAGGGATTAGGTGATATAAGAAATCAGCAATATAGAATTTCCACAATACAAGTATTCAGCAAAATAAGCATCTAGTAATGCAGGAATCTTGCAATATAAGAATTCAGCAATATTTAATTTCCACAATACAAGTATTCAACAAAATAAGCATCTAGTAACACAGGAATGTTGCAATATAAGAATTCAGCAATATAGAATTTCAACGATACAAGTATTCAAATAAGCATCTAGTAATGCAGAAATCTTGCAACACAACAATTGAGCAGTGCATACAGAGGTCCCAGAATTCAGAAATTCAGTGATAAACATAACAATCTAAAAATTAAAAAACACACATCTGGATAACACATGTTCTCGTGCTTGTACAATCTGAATGTATACATATGATTACCACAAAGGAATTTAAACGAGTTGTATAATTTATTTAATACGTGGACCGAATAAGAAGGGGAATATGTAATGGAATTGATTATTAATATCATTATGTAAAGCGTTTTCTGATGCAGTAGATGCATGGCCATGACTGGTACAACGCGCACGATAATTTCGACGAATGCCTTTTTAATTTCAAATCATCGGTGTAATTCGAATGCCTCCTGCGTTCGTTTTTCAATCATTCGATTAAATTGTAGTCGCAACGGTGACCACCGATGACCCCATCGCAGCCAACGTAATAAACGGTGATCTGCATTTTTACGTCACACATAACAGATGCACAGGTGTTCACCTCTTACATTCTTTGCTTAGCTTAAAATACACTCGGGATGAAAAAAGAATGAGCTTTATTTGTTATGGGAAGATCGTTTTGCGTCAATGTTTACGTATTCGTGCTCATTGACGTAGTGCTATGTCTATTTGTGAGCGTTTTTATTACAGAAATTTCTTATTCGACGGATACATATGCCAGTAATCTATACGTTTATTGAAACTAAATTAAATTCGCTGCGTGCTAGCCTTCGTTTATATATTTTCTCGGATGTTCGATCACGTGTGTCATTAGAATTTACGACTCCTCACTGTTGCGACACTGTGTACGAATATTTCAGTAGAACATAATCTTCTTTTAACTGTAATAAGATTAAGTATAAATTAAATCTGTTTAATCTTTCATCAAATCTTTGATACAAAATTTGGTACAACATTCTGTTAATTTTGAAGACTAACAAGTTTGAAAATTTTCGTGCCACAGATTATTTCCTCAAAAAAAAAATGTGTAATTACTCCCAGAAATTAAATCCAGTTCATAAATCAAGAGATAATTGATAAAACACGAGTCCCTTGACATGCTCCAGCTTCGTTTCACTTCCCAGCGGATTAATTATGAGCAGCATAAATTAACAATCACCCCACGCTTTCGTAACTAGGATTCCACGTGACGCGTGTCCTTTTGAAGTGATAAATCGGTCTAGGTTTGCATATGCATCGTTGTTAAATGTAAATATTGTTTCGGCGATCCTTTTTTCTCACGGAGGACGTTAAGCAACCCGTTTAATATTCCTTAAATGGAGGCTAGTCGTTAATCAATGAAGAAACTTTCTTTTAAAAAGTAAAAGCAGTGGGTTGAATTTCTTAGAAAATCAAACTGATTATTTCAGAGCTGATTCTTTTAATTAATTCTTTTTTTAAAGTATTCTTTCTTTAAGGTAAAATGAAAATGAATTTTTGTAAACCTCTTTCGAAATGTTTGAATTTTATAAATTAAAAAATTTATGATCATTTAGTTTGTGCAAATTTAAAGTTTCAGAACAGTCGAATATATTTTCATTCATTTGTACTTGTTCGATTTTGGATTATTTTTTTATGTAGCAAGTTTTGAATATCTGAACTTTGTGATGTTCAAATATTGTTATGTTTGATTTTGAACTAATTAAAATTTAGAAGATAAAAATATTCGCACCTTGAAATGTTAGAACACAAAATTATTTAAACTGAGAAAATGCTCGAATGTTCACCTAATAATTTCGCAAGATTTAATAAAAGTCTTCAAAGCGAGCCAACGGTCCAAGACGTTCAAGAATGTTTTTGACGCGGAATCCGAGTGATTCAAAAGTGAACAATGATATCGTGTTTCTTCCGCGTTTCTCCATGTTTCAAAGAATTTTCTGGTTTTCCCGATGCCCGCAGTGGCAGCCAGCCGACTGCCAGTGGAAAACACCGTGGGGTTGATTTATCGCCGCATCGCGAGGACGTTAAGTGGCGTTGTTCAAATTTCGTGCAACGTGTCGTAACGAACGGGCATTCACGGTACATCGGGAAGAACGGCCTTGCTATATTATTATTAGACACGGCATTAAAACCGAGTAACAAAGCACGCGGCACGATCCTTTTCGACTCTAACACCTCGCAGACATTGCGTTTCGTTGCTTCAAATCCACCCTGTACTGTTTAACTGCTATGAGGATGTAAATTAAATTCATAATTCGAATTTATAAGGTGATATAAATGATTTACAAGTAGAAGACATTCTTGCTTTTCTGAGTCTAAGTTGAGGTTGGACCAAATAGATTGCATTGAAATATCACTTATAACTTGATAAGATAATTTTTGTGACAGGTAGATATCTTGACAGGATAAATAATACTGCCCCTTTTTAAGTCAATTTATTTTTCCATAAATTTTGTTCCGACCTGCTTGCAAATTATATTAACTTCTAACTTAACAAGCTAAGAACTTAACGAGTACAGAAACTTGTTTCCACGTTGAGTCGATGAGATTGAAGTGTTATAGAAGTAATAATTACAGAATACGTTTGCCACGAAACCGTATCGAATTTCCGTGAAAATCGAGCAATCGTGTCTGGCAGCGCGAATTTTCTTTCTTTCTTTCTTTTCGCGGAAAGTGGTCTCCCGTTTCGCGAACGGCCACAACAACGCTATTTATGCCACTTACTCCGGGAATAGTCTCGTTGGCTAGCCTCCAGACAATATTTTTCACTTCCATCCACACTCAACGAAACAAACATGTACCGACAAATACGTGTACGTATCCGCTTCAACCGGCCAGTTCTGAATTGGCACTGAGAAATCACTGAGCGATGATTCGAACGGTGCTAATGTTACGGTTACAACAGTCATACAGGAAGAACCGGGATTTTCGAGAATTTGCCAATTCGTCGTCTTGGATAAATTATATTAACAGCGGATTAAACGTTTGTTGAACACCTGTGGTCCGAAATGTTTATCTTAGACATTTTCGCTATACTGCTATTTATGCATATGTACTTAATATTACATGTTACATATTCTATTTTCTAGTAATTTTATATTATTTCCGTATAGTATTGTAGTTATTATAGGAGTTAATATTTTCAAGTATTAAATGCAATTAAATTTGTATCATAGTTTGGAGATGTTATTTAAAATATCGCTTCGATACAGTTATCACCTGATAACAATTTTACATATCTCAAGAGGACTTTACAATTTTACATATCTCAAGAGAAAATCTACTCTGAGTGTTTTGTACTAAATACAGTACAAGTACTTTGTATTAGATATAAATGTGTTGTGCATTATTATATCATGAATGCATAGAACATGAAATTATAAAGATGACAAAACAAGAATCTGAAGAAACAAGAATTTAAAGAAACTTATAAGAAGACTTTATCCAAAGACTCCATCCTTGCTCCTCACCTGACCGAAAAAGCAGTGACACTTCATAAAACCGTAGCCGATAAACCCTCGAATTTACAAGGCTCTAAAACAACCTAAACCTCGTGCTCCATTCGTTTAGAGCTCTTAAAACTTGTTCACCATTAACATTCTACATCCAGCTGCATTATCGTTATCATTGTTGACCATGATCGTTCCATAAAACGTACCATAAAACCAATGCGGTTGTTTTGCTCTAGATACCAAGGCCTCGGGACGACAAAGAAATCGCTCGCGCAAAAATCTACGTGTTACGCAACGGCTCCTCTTCATCCGATACTTTTACTCTCTATACATATGCAATGCTATGCATATTCCTCTCTATATATTTCTTAGACAGCATACTTTTTATATTATAGAATATAATTCCGTTACTATATATTTTCGGTAGGGTACAGTTTTGATACTAATTCTGATGTAGATGTTGAGCGGGGAGACATAACCTCAAAACTCAGAGACGCAGCGGGGTATTTTACGAGAAATTCGTTGCTATTTTATTAAAATCAATTAATTATAAAAATGTGACAATCAAGGGTACAATAGACACAGGGTACAATACATAAATGTACAAATACAGTTATGCTTAGAAGTACTTTTTCAATTTGAAAAGATCTGCATCGGTCACAAAATAAAATTTCCCCCAAGATGAAACCCTTGTAGTCTTCAAGAAATATTATCGAGTATCGTAACATATTGCGAACAAATTATTAGTGAAATTTGTAGAATTCAAGGCAAAAGTATCAAAAAATTTGTAGAGTTTGAGACAAAGGTATCAGAAAATTCGTTGCTATTTTATTGAAATCAATCAATTATAAAAATGTGACAATCAAGGGTACAATACACAAATGTGCAAATACAGTTATGCTTAGAAGTACTTTTTCAATTTGAAAAGATCTGCATCGGTCACAAAACAAAATTTCCCCCAAGATGAAACCCTTGTAGTCTTCAAAAAATATTATCGAGTACCGTAAAATATTGTGAACAAATTATTAGTGAAATTTGTAGAGTTCAAGGCAAAGGTATCAGAAAATTTGTAGAGTTTGAGACAAAGGTATCAGAAAATTTGTGGAGTTCAAGACAAAGGTATCAGAAAATTTGTAGAGTTTAAGACAAAGTACCAGAAAAGAAAAAGGGTATATAAGGGGGAGGAATTCGATTTAGCCATTAGAGGCGCCGGGCCAATTACCGATCCCGAGATCTCAATTAATCCGGCGTGCAGCTAATCCGAGGACTCCTGTTTCCGTGGCGGACTCGTAATAATGACGAAACGAGCCGGCTGCGCAGCCACGTCGACCCACATTTATAAATAGAGAGGCCTCGTATCCATCGGAGCGAAGGTGTGTGTCGTGTGTCACCCCAGGAATACCACGGTCGACCGAGTGACCGACGACCGACGACGCTGTGAATGGGCCTTCGAAGTTGTTAGAAAACGAGACGCCGCTGGAAAACCGCTCGTAAAACGACGTTTCCTCAACCCTCCCGAGGGTGAATTTTACAGCTGCGCCGGAGACGTTTAACGTCGACCGTAACTTCGATGATCCATTTTCTTCTTTAGATTGGCTATCGGTCATCACAGTTGGTCACGAACCGGGATATTGGATACTTTGATGCCTCTTTAATAAAGATGTGGGCGTTGATTTTCTTATGGCTACTGTTTACTCTGTTCTTGATCTTTTCAGACTTTTACTGCTTTTGAAGGAACATGGATTAATTGTACTTTTAGTTGTGGACTTCAGAGTTGCAAGATGTTGATTTAAGGACATAACAAAATATTGCGTGTGATATCTGAACAGGAAATATGTTATTAATTTGATTTAAATTTAAATATCGTAGAGGGCTTGACAGTATTAATATTAGTATACTCTTCTTTTTAAATAAAATTGTCTTAAGTTAATAATTCAGTTAATTTGCATTTTATTTCCATTTTAAAACGTTAAATTAATTACCATAAAAAATTGAAATCAAAATAAATGTACTCAATTTAATAAAATATAGAAACCCAACAGAAGATATATTTCATAAGTCAACACAACACTTCCGTGGTGAAAAAGCTGTGACAAAAATGTAAAAAAGAAACGCAGAAAGAAATTTGCGACGAAGGACAGATGCTTCTTGCTACAAGTAGGCTTTGATTGATTGACTTCTTGGTTCAGCACGTGCAACGACTCCTGTGACGTCCAACATTTCTACTCGTTTCTGTCGTAACCAGCGTCGTCAGGCGCCTTTAGGATTCTACAAACTTTGCGAAAACCAGTATCCAATTTTTCTTGTAGGCACAACCGTGCAATTTTAGAAATTTTGTTGTCATTTCAATTTTACATTCCATGTCTCACGTGATATGTGAAAGGTAAAATATGTGATTATATTGAATTGTGTATATCTGAATTATTATATATTCGTCCCAAATCCAAATGCAGGACAAGAAAGCAAGATCACAATCGATTTTTCAAAGCGTACGCTACATCGCGGAACAAAATGTCCGTTAAGTCCATGAAAGCTTGTTTGGTACCGCAGGAATGTAAGTACATCAATCGACTAGCCTTGGTCGTGGCGTGGTCTCTTATTTTTAGAGAATTATTGGTTCACCTTGTAAACAAGAAACTGATACTCTGTTTACTGCGAAACATAACCTCGTTTCTTCCTGGATTCTCGTCGTTTCAATTTTCTAGCTTCCTGGTCATAGGAATACCTGATCACAGTGATTCAACATCGTCAATTATGTTCCTGAGCATTCGAGATTTTACTAATTTACTGTTTAGTATATTATTGTAATTTTCAAGCTTTTTCAAGCTGTAAATTGTTGCTTCTATTAAACATTATATATGCAGTCGTTAAAAAAATGACGAAACCATTCACATACGACAGAGGTATTAATATACGATGGGACACAAATAATCCACGCCTGATACTCGAAGACAAATTACAAAATACATGCGAAGACCTGAAGTTAAAAGTAGATTTAGGTTTTGTTTAGACGGGTTGATGCTTTCTTGAATATTTAGGACGGGTCACTGAATTGGAAAAAATATCTTCGGACAACAACAAAGTCGTAAAAAGCAGAAACTGTTCCATAAATCACTTTACAAGGATCATGGATGCGCAATATGACTAACAGGAAAATATAACGAAATATACCAAACGTAATTAAATTGTCCTACAAATATGCTTCGTTGAAATAATTTATATACTCATTATTTTCTGGAAAGGACTTATTCATATTATTTTCAAAATCAATCATTGCAATCTATGTTTTTAAAATTCTACATTTTTACGTTTATAAATTTGTAAATCGTGAAATTTCTAAGTTCTTAAATTTCTATATTTTTAGGTCACTAAATTTTCGAATTCAGTTTGCATTTTCAAATCTCTATATTCCCAAATTTTTTAATCTTTGAGTTCTTAAATTTTGAAATTCTCAAGTTTCTCAATTTCTAAGTGTCAAAATCTCTGGGTCCCCAAATTTCTACCTTTCCAAGTCTCTAAATTTCTACCCTTCGAAATCCCTAAATTTCTACATTTCCAAGTCTCTAAATTTCTACCCTTCCAAATTCCCAAATTTCCACATTTCCAAGTCCCCAAATTTCTACCCTTCCAAATCTCCAAATTTCGATATTTCCAAGTCCCCAAATTTCTACCCTTCCAAATCTCCAAATTTCTACCCTTCGAAATCTCCAAATTTCTACCATTCCAAATTTCCAAATTTCTACATTTCCAAATCTCCAAATTTCTACCCTTCCAAATCTCCAAATTTCTACCCTTCCAAATCTCCAAATTTCTATCCTTCCAAATGTCCAAATTTCTACCCTTCCAAATCTCCAAGCTTCTACATTTCCAACTCTCCAAATTTCCACCCTTCCAAATCCCCAAATTTCTACCCTTCCAAATCTCCAAATTTCTACCCTTCCAAATCCCCAAATTTCTACCCTTCCAAATTCCCAAATTTCCACCCTTCCAAATCCCCAAATTTCCACCCTTCCAAATCCCCAAATTTCTACCCTTCCAAATCCCCAAATTTCGGCCCTTCCAAATCCCCAAATTTCTACCCTTCCAGACCCCAAATTTCTACCCTTCCAAATCCCCAAATTTCCTAAATTCCAAGAACATCACCATGCAACAAAATTTCCCTCTGCACCCTATTTCAACATAAAATCCGCCCGCAAAATTGCACAAAATCGGCCCAGAAACCCAACCCATCATAAATTCTTCACGATTTCTCTCCAACCATTCTGTGAAACGCTCAAAACAAACGCAAAGGAAAAAACATTACGTTCTGTCCACGAATCGTTATTTTTCCAAGCCAGCTTGCATAACAGGGTCGAAAATGACTCACACAAGGAGGAAAACGATGATTCGGTCGGCGAGAGGAATCGTACCGTATGTTTTCGATCCGACGAGAAGACGGCGCAGAACGGAATGCGTATTCGTGACATTTGAAGGGGTGTCTTAAATTAAAACGATGGCAGAGCGGCTGAGCTGGCAGAGCGAGCGAAAGAACGCGGCGATTGCCACATCGACGTTTTGGCAGTAGCCATTCTCGATCCTTCGCTCGTTCGTC